CTTTTGTAACATTATGATCCTGCTTGCGACCCGCGAACTCACGCAGCAGTCACGCACGTTAAAAGTATTGTTGGCAGCAGTTCCTGTAAAGAAGGTGATGCAGCAGAGCGCGCCACCATAATGCTTTCCACCACGTTATATGGGAGTTATAGGGCCCTGGAAGTTACACTTGTATCCAAAGCAAAACAAGGGGATATCTCAGCATTCGCTAAGTAAATAATGGGAAACTGGGTACAAAACCTTACTGAGATAGAATCATTCACCCAGAAGCTGAGAAACAACTCTTGTTACAGGACTATTGAGAATTTGAAAACTAATGGTAAAAAAGTGGCAACTAAGAAGTACATTAAATAGCATTGTTAATATCAATATTATTTCCCTTTTTGATGGTACTGTCTCTTAATTCTATAAAAACATTTTCATGGCAGAAAATATTTTACTTGGACATAAACTTGTAAATCAATTTTAATCATTTAATCTCATCTGGCGATGTGTTGTATAGTAAGGTACATGTATTGGATGCCCATTTTTTGTAGTAACCTGTTGATACTGAAATCTAATGAATATGATTCCTATATCATGTGTTATAATTATAGACATTGTAATAAAATTAAAAGATGTTCCCATCCTTGAGTAGGTCAGCTTCACAAAAACTGACCACCAATTCATAAATGAAGGGGTAAGACAGTGGTAAGATTCCTAGCTTAATAAAAAAAAGGCTTGCAGATATCACTTACACAGGATTAGCTTATTATTGACATCAACTCTTTCTTCAATTTAAAAGTCTCAGAACTGAATTTGCAAGGATTCTGAATACAAACCATAATGATTTTAATATTAGGTCAAATTTCATTTAAATGGACCTTCCAGGTTTAAACTGACAAACCCAAAACTTTTGCTAGTATCTTAGTCGCCCAATTGCACATCATTCATTTTCAAAGCAATTGGTTTTTTTTGGAGTGGAATACTACTTTAAAATTGTATTCCTTTTCACAATAAAATGACATTGTTCCATTGTCTGTTCTCTTTCCGATCATTAGGGCCACCTGTTGGGCTGTTTCTCTGTTCCCACGTGAACCTTCCCTCATGAAGTAGAAAGAGTCTGGCAATAATCCAATACACACACTGCGTATGTGAATGTCACTAAAAATCAAGTTATTATAATGCAAAAGGTCTGTATCCTATGGGGCACACTACATCACATTTACCTAATATTACAGGCGTTTAAAAATGTTGTATTGCTATATAAGTTAATATATATGACATCACTTTAATTGCTTCTACGATAGTGGATGCATTTTGATTGCAATATTTCCAGGAATAGAAATGAAATTGAAACAAGTGTGTTAAAAATTCCTGTTGTTTTGTTCTATGATCATTTTTGGTCCTTCAACCTTGCATACCCACTTAGACATGTTTGGATTTACAGAAACTTAATTTTTCCCCCTGCTTACAAAAATAAGGGTTGTTACTGTGTTGCCCTGACCTCTTCACATGAAGTAACAATACCTCAAAACAACATGATATACTATTCAATTATAAAACAGTAGAAATGTGTAGCAACTACCATTTCAGAATGATGTCCCCACAATTCTTTTTGCTGAGAGGGTAAAATTTCTAGCCTCATTAATTGTCAGATCAGAAGAGCCAGGCTAGAAATGAATAGTTGTAATACAATTGGAGACAGCAACCAATTGAGATAGATACATTTCTCCAAAAGAAGGGATTTTGAGTTTTTCAGTGCCTCCTCAAAACATGAATAGCTTTGTAAATTCACGAGTTTCTCATTTTATTAATTCTCTAGTTCACCTACATATAAATCTAATTTTCTAAATTTCATTAATTTCTGATTTATTGAAATGCTCTCTTACATATAAACTCAGAATACTTCTCGAATCGACAATTCTCCAGTTACCTCAATTGTAAGAAACTATTAAATTCTGGACTGCTTTTATATGTTTTCTATTTCAATGCTTTTAGCGAGTTCTAAGTACAATGTTAGCACAGGGATAATAAATTCGTAATTTTTTTTAAAAACATCCCTCACATCATTTTGAATAATGTTTGAAGCTGATTGATCATTGCAGAAGATTTGCACATTGTCTTCGAAATCGAAAACATTAATGCAATCCTTACAAACTGCACATGCTCTTTACCCGAAGAATTTTGAAATGCTGATGAGCTGATCATTGGTCACTGAATGCAACTAGCATGAACTGACAGCCATGTAAGAGGGCCATCAACCCTGAGTCTAATAGAGTAAGTCAGAATATTTTAATTCAAGTTGCTGTGATTAAAGCTTCAATCACATACATTTAATGTGGACATAATTTTATTCTTTTTACACCAAATTGAGGGTGTACATTCCAAAATTTAAAAAAATTGGTAAATAACACCCTCACACATTATTAGTAAAAGAAATACATAATTAATGCAAAAGATTGAAGTATCCAACTGATGTAATTCTGTAGAAAATTTTCTAATACAAATTTTACTCACAAGAGCAGCAAGAGAGAATACTTACTTGTGGCCCGGGAATTTTGTCAATAATGATGTTACTAGCAGTTTTTCAACTTGTTGATCTGTTTCAGTGACTAAATCCACATCACAGGACTTGATTGTGACTTTTTTCCCCTTATTATGTTGCTCACGAACAATCTAAAAATAAATGAAATTTAATGTCCCAATCAATATATTGTAATTTTTTCTGAAGTAATAGTCACTTCAGTTTCACTTGATTTGTGGGCAGTGTTTTCTTCCCTATTAAAAATCAAATGTATTATCACCAACAAAAATCAATATTTTACTGAATAACCTTTTTGCAATTCACCTAATTATTAAAAATTGGATTTAAATTAGAAGCTGGAATAAATATTACTAGCAGCATCACTACTTCGTTTTGTTAATTTGTATTCCATTTCTGACTTTATTTCATGGTAAGAATGTTTCTAAGTCATTTTTATTCAACTCAAAACAGAATTTGTGCCCTTATTTATGGATATTTTTCAAAGCCCCAAAACCTCAGTTTAAACTCAAATCTATAAGAAATAACAAATTATTTGCATGATTTCTGTATCTCAAGACTTCTGTCAATAATAATAATAATTTAAATCTTAGCAAAATCTTCATTTCCCTGCAGATCATATTAATTTGGAAGTCATGATGATAAGAATACACAATCTTCAAAATTCTTGCTTGAGAGTTCCTCTGCTCTTCACTACAGGACAGTACACAAATAGCCAAAAACTTCAGTACAAGCATTTCCTGTTCAATTATATTGTCTAACAGTTTTTTAAATTCATTCCCAAAAATTTAGATTTTGGACTTCTTGCATTCATATTTAATCTTGGTGCAGAAATATAAATAAATATATGTGTGAGAATGTGGTTTTACCTAATTAGTGAACATTAACGGAGCAAGAACCCACAATTAAAAAATCTAGGAAGTAATGAAGCCTTGTAGGGATACCTATATGCGTTATAGAATAACTTGCAACTTCGGTACTATGTATAAGCAAATTCTTTTAGCTGCTGTGATTGATGCAACTTCTTTCTTGCTTTGTAGCCCAATGTGCATTTGGATGCAGTTTAATATAGAGAAGTTACTCTTAAAAAGACCAGTTGGACAGGATGTGAAACAAAAGAATGTCATGTTGAACGATGGCATTGTAATTGGTAATGTTAAAGCCATTTACAAATGAGCCAACTGCAAATGGACACATTGAGCGTATGGGTATAACCTGCAGTTAATTGCCAGCACTAGCTGTCAAAGTGGTCCCTCCTTACAATAATCTCTCTCTTTTATAGGTACCTATTCTATATTGTTATAATTTATAATACATATTTTCTTATGTACGAATTCCATTATTAACATGTAATCAACAAAAATTAGATTAGTATTCTGAAATATAAGGTCATGACCTTTTATTATCATTCCTATAATATTTAACAGCATCCATGTTCACTTTAGGCCACAAAACACAAAAGAATGAGTTGCATCAATCATTACAGCTAAGAGGATTTGCTTACACAATGTTCTAAAGTTGCAAGTTGTTCTCTAATATATCATAAGGAATCCCCCCTGAAGATTTGAGAAAATAAGGAATCATAATTACATGGTAATGAGGTACTGAGATACAGTATAATAATTTATGAATGGTATGTGTAAGAATAAAATAAAAACAGGTTGGTTGAAATGAATTTGTTAAAGCATTAAAGGGAATGAATAAAATAACAAAAAATACAAATCATACAAAAAGAAAAATGTTAATCCAGGTAGCAAAAACCAAGAAGTGTTTTAGAACCTCAATTTAAAAGCCATAAACGCAAATAAAGACATGACATCAAGTTTGGAATATACACGTTTTTCAAGTCTTTTCATAATAGATACGAAGAACAAGCAGAAAAGAACATTGCCATACACCTGGCAAAAACTTGGGTCTCTTCAGTATATTGTACTTCCACTTGTAACCTGAATAATCACTATCGAAGGCAAAGGCCTTTTAAAAGACTGTGGTACATTCTTTAGTGAACTATTTGAGCTAAATATCTAAACAACAAACACATGAATCACTTAGAAAAACTAGTTAATTTTAATATTACAATTTGTATGAGGAAATGGATATATTTAGTTTTCATTTCAGGATCATGAAAAAATTAGAGACATTATTAAAACATTATTTATTTTTTAAATTTACAAGTTGTTTTCATTAAAAAAAAGAAGAAAAAAAAACTTTGCACATTTAAAAACGTAACACATAAAAAGAAAATAAAATATGAAAGAAAAAATGTATTTGTAATAAATAAAAAAATAAATAATGGTGTGGATCAAATCACAAAAAAAGGGTTCCCCCACAGTCTTCAAGTGTTATGTAATTGTAAATGGCCCCACAAGTACTTTGTACACAAATACCAAAGAAAATCCAGAGGCTAGAAGCTTGTCAACTTTACGAAAAGTACTAAAGTACTCTCTAAATAAAAATCTAAACAAGTCTAGAATTAATCTTTCAGACAGTTATCTATAACTACCGTCAAAACCACAGAAGAATCTTGAATACAATCCCTCTCTTACCCTTTTATTTCTTTCATTACAATACAACTCTCCCATATCAAATCTGCCCACTATGACCACATTTTCAAAAATCCAATTCAATAGAATTAATATGAAACAGTATTTCTAGAATAATTTGCACTTTAAGAAATTGTTTCATCTTATACATTTTCAACTAGACAAAAGCTGGTTTAATAACTTCAAACAGATCTACTTAGATATATTTAACACATTAATTATCACAGAAGTATTTAAATAATAATAATTGAATTTCATGGAATTAACAGAAATATTTCCCTTCACATTGCTAACTACATAGTGAACAAATATAGTAGTCTGACCTAAAATGTCACATTCGTTCTCTCATTCAAATTCACCATCATATTTCAAAAAAAAAAAAAAATTGCCTAACAACTCTCTATTCCAACAAGTTTTTTATCTCAGCATTATAAAACGAATAATAACTATCTACATACAAATTGCTTATTCTTGAATCTGTAAGGTGAAGCATAATGGTTTCCTTCAAAATAATATAAGTTCAATCATTAAATACAAAACATCTATAGATAAATCCCTTTGCGATTTTATTAACTATTTTAAATTTAAGTATAACATGACTATGCGTAATGTTTAAAATGTCTGCAGAAAAAACTACTTATTATGGCAAAAAACATTATTGCTAATATAGCAACAGAATATAATATAAACTTATTGAAATAAGTTTCCTCTAGGTATTACTGTCTGGTACCCAAAATATCAGAGAAAACGCTTATATTTTTAACAATATCAGATTGTTTTTGTGTTCATCAAAGAATATTCTAAGAGAAAAACTATCACATATTAACGTTTACCATCGAGAAAGTCTGAAAAGATTATACATCATACTAACCCTAGTCTAATAATTAAATGCACAACAATAAAAGGTATCACTAAGTTCTAATTACATCACGCGAACTAATTAATTTAACCATCATAAGGACATGTCATTCAACGATTCCATACTTTCCCGGCATTTCTGGTAAGTTCAAGAACGGTGTCGAAGTATAGTTGTAACTGCGAATCATCCACATCCATTTTTCTTATTCTTGCAACTCGCAGGCGTGGGAACTTTAGATCAACAACACACACACCGCTCACAACTACCACGTGCGAACGTACAGGTGGAACTAGTTCAATTCGTGAGGCAATTTTGTTAGTTGCTCTCAGCTGTTGCTTGGCTGTTGCCGATGGATGCCGTACGAAGCGCCACTGACTGTCCATTGAGAGAATGAACTGAATTAAATTTTAATTGGTCAAACAAGTGTGACGTTTCATATACACTGGATAGGGACGTGGTTTAAAATGAAATTTCATATAATGCAGAACTTTGGCGGATGTATACTCCGTTTGCCTTATATATTTGTCGATAACTACAAGAAGGCGCACAAAAAGTATTTTTCTCTGAGAAATGTCTTAGGTAGGAAAATTCTAACTTTTCCTTTGAACCTACAGTAGCAAGCGAACTAGAAGCAATGAAACTGAAGAGCCAAAATAAAAAAAAAAAAAAAAAACTGGCACACCTTCCTAATATCGTTTAGCGCCCCCGCGACCGCGCAGAAATGCCGCCACACAACGTGGCATGGGCTCGACTGTCTGAAGTAATGCTGGAGGTAATTGACACCGTGAATCCTGCAGGGCTGTTCATAAACTCGAGAACGTATGGGGAGGAGATCACAGACCTTCCACAGGCTTGAACTGTTGAAATGTACAAACATTAAAATGCAAATGTTTAAAGTTGGTACCGATAATACTTTTTTGTTTTGTATGTTGGTACTAGCAAGCAATAAAATAACACACGGCTTTTTCGTTGTGTGTAAAACGTGTTTAAAAACGTTGTTGTCTTTATAATATTGTGCAACCAGACAATAGAAAACCTAAATTTCAAAACAGGTTATGGGCCCAGACTGCGCCAAATGCTGCTGGTAATACTGTTCAAAATATTCTAGAAAATATATTAAGAATTCGCTACAAGTGGTTCCAGAACAAGAAGAATCATGGCATGAGAAGATACTGAATTGAACAATGTGACAAAAATTACGTATACCGACTCCTTCTAGCTTTGGAACTTAGAGATTCAGATTTTGTGCAAAGCAAAGCAGGTGTGGGAAGTTGTGTCTGGTGCTAAAACTGGTAGGTGAGTGCGGCAGTGATGGACATAAGCACTTCATAAAAAATGAAAATAAAAAAAACAAAAAACATGGCATTCCGAGGATGCCAAGGCACAGTGTTGTATTGTAACAACTATTGATAAAATGGGAAAAATATCTTGACATGTGGCACTTCAAAAGAAATGTATGACACTCTGAAAACAATATACAGAAGAGATACCACCCAGCTTGTACAACAGTTGCTGATGGACTTCCATGGGACTTCCAAGACTGTGTTAAAGAAGAGTAAAAGTCAGCAAGTAATAAGGAAGAACCAAATGCTGCTTTTATTGCTCTAAACAAGACTTCAAATCCAAAAACTAAAAATTCCAAACCAAAGCCAAACATTGTGTGCTATAAATGTGGTGAGGTAAGTCATAAAATCAAAGTGCTTTAAGAAGAAATATAATAAGTCTTGTCAAAAGGATAATCACAACGACGAAGAGTGATTCAAAAACATAAAATTCAAAACAACAACGTCCCTTACTGTAGTTATTGCAAAAAAAATCACTTTTTTGTAAACTGTTTCTCTAAAGAGCAACATAAAAGGAAGAAAAGAGTAAACATTTTTGTAGAAATGGATCAATATGCTTACCAATCTAATAACAAAGAAGAAAATTCATCATACTTGAGGGACGTGTTGTTTGGTGTAAAACTATAAGATAATACTTTTGTTGTGGACAGTGGTTGTACATCGCACATGACAAACAGGTAAAAAGAATTGACCAACACAAAATGTCCCAGTTGAGTGCAAACCTTCAGTGCTTCAGTATTGGTGAAGCAAAATTATCTTGTAACAAATAAGGTGATACTCAAGAATGTGTTCTAGATTTTGATTTAGATTTAGATTTATTCAGTAATAAAAAAAAAACAGTTAAAACTATGTGACGTAGGGGAGAAAAGATTAACTGCGCACGTTTTCTTCAGTTCCAGAATCCTTTCCCGTCATTTTAACTATAAATAGTTGAAAGATTAGTAAAAGTTTAACATAAATTAATAAAAATACATTTTTAAAATTGCAAGATTAGCAATATTTGAAAAATAGTCATTTTTGTTTCTGAGTTATAGAAAACTTTTTATTTATTTATTTAATAGGTAATTATTACAGACAAAATTAGTTAACTTGATCCTATGTGGCTAGGCCGAAGGCCTTTAAGCCATTACAATACCTACATCCTTTCGCGTTCTAATCTTTCGAATTCTGGTATTCACCCCAAATGGTCTCTCCATCGCATCAAAGCCGCGGAAAAGAGACCATAAGGTACGGCTCAGGAAAAAACCCCTGAAGGGGGAAAAACCTGCCGTCAGAAGCCGAGTACATTCTAATCTATCCGACGTTTATTTTAGCTATTTTATTTTCTGGCGTGGGCGTCCCGCCGTCTCCTTCCAGTGCTTGGCCTCCTCAGCACCTGAAATCAAACAGCGCCACAGAAGATCGTCCGCACCAACGCCTCTGCCCTTATATTTTTTTTTTTTCGATCCCCCCTTACCTCCCCCCCCTAATGTGCTTATTACTATTTCAGTTTTATTTTATTTATTATATTAACATTTTACTTACCAATTAACTATGACTTATTTCTTAACTGTTTACTTACTTAACATAAAATTACTGATTAACTTACATATTGTTAGCTTATTGACTTATTTATAGAAAACTTATTTGCATCACTATACGATTTGCAAGTATGATTTTTCTGCATTGCTAACAAAATAGCTACTCGCTCTTACCTCTACTCTTACCATTACAAGCAAAAGGAGAGTTCAACAAAACGTGCGCATAGTGAAGCTACATTTACGTCCAGAAGCAAAACAAGGGGCCAGCTCAGCATTTGCTCAATTGATCAGGAAAACTGGACAAAAACATGATGATGGGGTTCATTGACCTGGAAGATGAAGTACATTATTTGTTACAAACATATTAAGTTGGTTTTAAATATACAGTACAAATGTAAACTAATTCACTGTTTTGTTAAAATAAACATTATTTTTCTTTTTCTATGTTTCTGAGCTCACAAGAAACTTTTGTGAATCTTTTTCAGAATCTTTTGTGAAACTTTTGTGAAAAGTTTTGTGAATCTTAAGAAATTGCCAATTTTGTGTAAAGGTATACCACTTGATCTCATGAAGAGGAAAACCAATACTGTGTGTGAAACCTGTATAGTTGCCAAACTTACAAGAAATACGTTTGATACAATTCGGCAGAAAGCTCAAAGACCATTTGAATTAATACATATTGATCTATATGGTAAAATCAACCCACCTACATTTGACAAGAAGAATTATTTCATAGTGTTTGTGGATAATTATACACATTTTGTTCAAGTGTGCCATGAAAAACGCGGCCTCTACGTAAACAAGTGCGTAGCCGTCAATTTCACTCGACAGAGGGCCGACCCAAAGTGCAGGTAATTTATCTTTAGAATTCGAATATTAAACTTAGTTATTAAGACAAAGCCTCCTTTAGCTGCTTTATTCGCAAGGCAGCAGCTTAATGTACTCAGTGAAAAGAAAATAAATTTCGGTCTCCACAGGGTCACTGTGGAGGGGACAAAAACAAAAGCCTTTCTTTACCGTATCCTACTGAATGTTCAATCCTATTATACAGCCAAGCCTTCTCTTTACATTGCCTCACAATCATTTGTGCTTTATTTTTAATAAGCAATAACGATCCAGATCATCTTGACGTTTTGAATACAGTTCTTCTATAAGTTTCCTTCTTATTCTTAATTGCCGCAGCGGCTTCTCCACGCATCCATTCTACTCTTTCCTTATTTTCCATTTATATCACTAAAGTCTCAGCAGCTGCCTCATCTACCCATGTTTTCATATGATCATAAAGTTCTTGAGCACTCCAATCATCTTGTACATCTAATTTATTTGCAAGACGTCTCTGATAGAGATCCCTAACACTTTCATCTTGCAACAGGCTAAGCATATATCTCGGTTCATTGAGTTTTACCTTCTTGGGCAAATGCTATCTCTCTTTGTGATGTTACCCTTGGGATTACTATTGTAGTAATGAGATGATTTGCACCACACTCAGCATCTCTAAATACTCTGACCACTTGAACTATTATTTTTCTATTTCGTTTAACAATTAAGTAATCTATTACAGATTTTATTATTTTTTTCTGTTCCCCAGTAAATTTATGAAAATTTTTGGGGCAGAAATAGGAATTCATAATGGAACAGTTGTGCCCTTTACAGATTTATATTAATCGCTTCACATTATCGTTCTTTACCATTTCTCCTTTTGCCCATTACACCATCTTCTTCTTTACTTCCAATGCGCCCATTGAGATCCTCCATGATTAGTAGTTCGCCTGTTGTGGACACAAGACCCAACGCCTCTATTAAGTCTTCCAAAAATTCATCGGACTTCATAATGAGGGAGTCGTCTGTAGGGGAATATACTTCAATAACTTCAAAGGCAATTCCACATATTTTAATTTTTATTCTTACAAATCTTTCATTTATAGCTTCCCAAATTTGAATCCTATTTTTCCACTTCTTTTGGAATATAGAGACGCCTGCCCTTACCCACTTTTCCTTCTTTACTCCGCTCCATAAATGATAATTTCCCCCTATTTCCTTTAATCCTTTACCTTTCTTTGTCGTTTCCGTAAGAACCACCTATTCCAATCCCTTGTCTTTAGTGTCCTCACCAATATCCTTCAATATCTTTGAAAGGCTCTGCACATTCCATTCCAAAAGAAAAAGTCCGTTTTCGTAGCCTTTGTCGTTGCCCATTTATGATTTCCGAGGCTGTATTTATTCCAGCTAACGTAGCGTTTTCATTTATCACACATGTGCTCGTCCACATGCTTAACCGCGTGGGGGGGTGTCTTCCGGTTTCTCTTGCCCTAGAGAGGTTGCCTGTACCACGGCCTAAATGAAGCCTCTCTCCCCATGGAAGAAAAAAAGAAAATAAGATAGTAAAAAGAAAGGAATTGAAAAATAAAAGATTCCCTTGACTTTCGCAGCCTAATCGCTTCGGGAGCAAAACAGAGTATCAAGAAAGATAGAAAAGATAAACGAAGTATGGCAGTAGTAAGAGGAAGCAATGCCACACTGGTAGATAGAGATCACACGATACGCCAGTGTGAAACGTGCGGGGTCAGTTGTTGGAGATGGATGTAGATCAAATATGGATATCAGTATTAGGTATGGATAAAGTAAAATGGGACGTTGTTGAACAACCTTTCGTCTGACTCCTCCACTGGGGTGATCTATCTGTAGCTGCGTTAGGGTTACCAATGTTACTCCTGTCATTGCCCTCATCATTAAAGTACGCAAATTTTCTCGCCCGCGCGGACGATGCCACTTTAAGGCGGAATTCTGAGAGGTCAAAAATTGCAAAAATGCAACTTTTTTGGGCTTCTTGCAACAACTACAATATTTAAGATATTTTACCCTTAATTCAATCGGTTCTTTAAAGACATCTTTAAATAAGGTCATGCCAATTTTTTTGAAAATGAATAGTTTGCGTAATTTTAAGCGAAAAAGACCTTTTTTGTTTTTTAAACGATTTTTCCTCAAAAAAGCTCCATTTTTCTTTTAATTTTCTCCGCACATGAATCAAGGGACTATAAAAATATGGTGTTAGTCTCATTTTCGGCGCACTCTCCGAGTTTTCGGAAATTGCAAAATGTTAACATTTTAAAACTACAAAAATGAAGAGAGCGAATTTTGCCTTAAAGTGTGTTGTAAAAAACCAGCGCTTTAAAAAAGATTATGTACACTTTTTTTCGAAAAAACGAGTAGATTTCCTATAATGTGTTTGAAATTTATACAATTTCTAAGAAAAATTATTTTTTCAAAAACTGCTCCAAATATTTTCATCAAATTTTCCCCTCGTATGTATGTGAAAGGGCAGTAAAAATATAGTGATAACCTCATTTTCGCCAAACTCTCCGTATTTCCGAAAATTGCAAAAAGTAACATTTCAATATTAAAAGTCAGAGTTCGAAACTTGCTGCTTTTCGATAGCACAGAGGTAAGGCTCACGGCGACTGAAATCGGAGGACGCGAGTTCGAGTCTTGGTGTGAAAAAAATTGTTGGTTGAAAACACTTTTGCAGGTTTACATATAATTGTGTAATATAGGGAAGCAGTTAGAAATGTCCCCCATTGAATGCCCCATTGCTTGTAGTTAGCGCATAATGGGCTTTGGGCCCTAGACCTTTGTTAGGTATGGTTCAACCTTAGGAATTTGAAACAGTCACGAGGGGTAGGCACATATTACCGCACGTTAAGATTGTAAAAACCATATGAGATATTTTCTAGGAGGTATACGATATTGAACATTAGAATCTGAAGAGTGGGAATCTCTCTCCCATATTCCTTCCACTTTATCCTGTACACCTCAGTGACGTTCTAACTCAAGGGAGACAAGATAAGAAGTCATGGTTGACCACTCCCTTTCATAGGTTAAGTCTAGGATGAGTGGTTACATTTACCTAGAGGCAAGACATCTGCATGCTTGATTGACCAGTGGTTCCGGGCGCGTCAACGGTTAAGGTCATTAGTCCCCGTAAGTGTTGTGCATAATGTGGCGGTGAACTTCCCTACCTGAATGGCGAGATCGGGCACCGACCAACCAGTAGGCTTAGAGGGATTTCCCCAACCAGCGGGGCATCGCCTCAGGCGAGACAACCTCCAAGCTCCCGACTGGTCTCCCAGCATGTATGCTACTGTAATGTGTGTGTGTGTGAGAGTGAGAGTGAGAGTGAGAGTGAGAGTGAGAGAGAGAGAGAGAGTGAGAGAGAGTGAGAGAGAGTGAGAGAGAGTGAGAGAGAGTGAGAGAGATCCGTTTCTGTCTGTGCCCGGGCCAGTCCCATCTCGTGCTCCCCTCTTTTGCCTCTCTCTTTCGCCACTTGCCCCCGGTCCCCTTTCCTCTTCCCGTTGCGTTTCGCCCCCCTTGTGCTTTTTCCCGCTTCGGCCGCGGTAACGGCCTCGGGGCGCTGCCTTCGGCGGCCGCGGCGTTTTCGCGTTTGGTGTGCCCCCCTTGTTGGTTGCCCCCATTTTGCCGGTTTCATCTCAATTGTGTCATTCGGGCAGCGTTGCGCTGTCCTTTGATGCCCCTTGCCTTGTCGTGGCCTCCTGGGTTTGGTCGACTTTGTTCCGGTCTGGTTTTCCCCTTTCGGCTTTGCCCCGTCCGGCGGGTGTACGGCCCATCTTCCGCGTTCGCTTGTCCCCTCATGCGTTTTTCTGCGGCGGTCTCCGCTCTTGACCCTTAGCCTCTGCCGCGTGGGAATTCTTTCGCCTTTATTCCTTTTCCTTTCTCTGGGTTCCGTGGCCGGGTTTCACTCCAGGGCGGGCCAGTCATCAGTTTGCATCAGCCGTCTGTTGCGCCCTTCCTTTCTCGGTTCCGTCTAAGGCTGCGTTGGTTACCTTTCTCGCGGCCAGCCCTTGCATGTTGATTGCCCGTTTCGGGCGGGTCCGGTTTCCGGTCTTCGTCCCGTAGTGTTGTGATTATGTGGGGTGCCTTCTCTGCATGGGCGACTGGCGCGGCCCCGCGTCGGTCGCGGGCTTTCCCACCCGCGGGGCCTGCGTCAAGGCGAGCCACCTCCGTCCGTGGTTTCCCCACGCGTGTCATGTCCTGTCATGTGTGGTGTTGTGCGCGTGCCGTGCGGCGTGAAAGCGCGCGTGCAGCGAAGTGAAGCAGCGCGTGCGCGAGTGCGAGCGCGTGCGCGTGCGGGCGAGTGTCGCGCGTGCGTTCGCGTGCGAGGCGAGTGCGAAGAGGAGTGAGAGAGTGGGCGAGTGAGCGAGCGTGGCGGCGCGTTGGGAGGGCGCGTGCGCGGGTGCGCGAGGTCAGCGCGCGTGCGGCGGCGGCGCGCGAGTGCGAGGCGGCGCGGCGCGTGCAGCGAGCAGTGCGCGGAGTGAGAGAGCGTGCGCAGGTGCGCGCGCGTGGCGCGCGAGGTGGGCGAGTGCGCGAACAGTGAGCGAGCGAAGTGCGCAGGAGCGAGAGCCGTGAGCGCGCGCGCGTGCGAAGCGCGAACAGAAGTGGAGCGGCGAGTGCGCGGGGTGGGCGGCGGCGTGAGCGGTGGCGTGCCGCGAGTGGGAGCGTGCGCGGCGTGCGCGCGAGTGCGCGCGGTGCAGCGCGGCGTGCGCGCGCGTGAGAGCGAGTGGGAGCGCGGTGCGCGCGACGTGCGAGCGTGCGCGAGACAGGCGCGCGGTTGAAGCGCGCGTGCGACGAGCGTGCGGCGCGTGGCGAGTCGTGCGCGCGCGTGGTGAGCGCGCGTGCGCGACGAGTGAGAAGCGCGTGCAGCAGGGGAGTCGCAGGCGTGAGCGCGCGTGCGCGCGAGTTCGGCGAGTGCGACGGAGATGGCGCGGTGAGACGCGGTGCGCGCGTGAGGCGCGTGACGCGCGCGTTGAGCGACGCGTGGAGCGCGTGGAGCGCGTGCGACGCGCGTGGCGCGAGCGTGGCGCGCGTGAGACGCGAGTGAGGCGCGTGAAGCGCGTGATGCGGCGTGCGCGGCCGTGAAAAGCAAGGAGTGCGACGCAGAGACGTGAGCGACGGTGGGCCGCGGTGCGAGCGAGTGGCGGGACGCGCGAGCGTGGCGGCGCGTGCGAAGCGTTGCGATCCCACGCGGGGGGGGACCCCCGCGCGTGCGCGCGGTGAGACGCGCGGTGCGCGGAGCGCGCAGCGTGAGAGCGGTTGCGCAGCGAAGCGTGCGGACGCGGTGCGACGCAAGAGTGACCGGCCCGGTGAGAGAGCGGTGCGGCAAGCGGTGGCGCGCGTGAGAGGCGTGCGCGGGAGCGGTGAGAGAGGGTCGAAGGATGGAGGAGCGTTCGCGCGAGGAGCGAGTGGAGGGCGAAGTGAGAGCGTGAAGAGAGAGCGTGAGAGCGAGTGGGAGGAGGTGGAGAGAGAGTTTGAGAGGTGAGGAGGGTGACGAGGAGTGAGGAAGAGAGTTGAGACTGAGAGTGGAGGAGTGGAGGAGTTGAGAGAGAGAGTGAGAGAGACGGTGAGGAGAGAGAGTTGAGAGAGAGAGTGTAGAGAGAGAGTGGAGGGAGAGTGAGAGAGAGTGAGAGAGAGAGTGGTAGAGGAGGTTGAGAGAGAGGTGAGAGGAGGAGAGTGAGCGGAGGGAGTGAGAGTGAGGAGTGAGAGAGAGTGAGAGAGTGAGAGAGATGTAGAGGGTGGAGGAGAGTGAGGAGTTGAGATGAGAGTGAGAGGGAGAGAGAGTGAGAGGTGAGAGAGTGGAGAGAGAGTGAAAGGTGAGAGAGAGTGACGAGAGAGTGAGAGGAGGAGAGGTTGAGGTGGAGAGAGGTGGGAGAGAGTTGAGAGGGAAAGTGAGGAGAGAGGAGTGAGAGTGGAGAGTGAGGAGAGAGTGAGAGAGAGTGAGGTCGAGAGAGTGAGAGAGGAGTGGAGAGTGAGAGAGTGAGAGAAGAGAGGTGAGAGAGAGTGAGAGAGGAAGTGGAGAGAGGGAGGCTGAGGAGAGAAGTGGAGAGGAGGAGAGAGCTGAGAGAGAGGTGAGAGAGAGAGTGGAGAGAGAGAGTGGAGAGAGAGAGAGTGAGAGAGGTGAGAGAGAGAGAGTGAAGAGGAGTGAAGAGAGAGAGGGTGAGAGAGATGAGACGAGAGTGAGAGGAGAGAGTTGAGAGAGAGAGTGAGAGAGAGAGTGAGAGAGAGGTGAGAGGAGGTGAGAGAGAGAGTGAGAGAGAGAGTGAGAGAGAGAGTGAGAGAGAGTGAGAGAAGAGTGTGAGAGAGAGAGAGAGTGAGAGAGTGAGAGAGAGAGTGAGAGAGAGTGAGAGGAGTGAGAGAGGTGAGAGAGAGTGAGAGAGTAGTGAGAGAGAGTGAGAGAGAAGTGAGAGAGAGTGGAGAGAGAAGTTGAGAAGAAGGTGAGAGAGGGAGTGGAGAGAGGAGTGAGAGGAGGAGAGTGAGAGAGTGGAGGAGAGAGTTGAGAGAGAGTGATGAGAGGTGAGAGTGAGAGTGAGAAGTGAGTGAGAGGTGGAGAGTGAGAGAGAGTGAGAGTGAGAGTGAGAGTGAGAGAGAGTGAGATGGGAAGGTGAGAGAGAGTGGGAGTGGAGTGAGGAGAAGTGAGAGTGAGAGTCGAGAGAGAGTGAAGAGAGAGTGAGAGTGAGAGAGAGTGGAGAGTGAGAGTGAGAGAGAGAGTGGAGAGGAGAGTGAGGAGAGGAGGGGAGAGAGAGTGGAGAGAGAGTGGAGAGAGTGAGAGACGGTGAGAGTGGAGTGAGAGAGAGTGGGAGTGAGGTGGAGTGAGAGCGAGGAGTGGAGAGAGTGAGAGAGAAGTGAGCAGAGAGAGTGAAGAGAGAGGTGAGAGAGGAGTGGGAGAGAGTAGTGAGAGAGAGAGTGAGAGAGAGAGTGAGAGGAGAGTGTTTAGAGAGAGATGTGGAGAGAGAGAGTGAGAGAGAGGGAGGAGTGGAGGAGAGAGAGTTGGGGGAGAGGTGGAGGAGAGAGTGGAGAGGGTGAGAGAGAGAGTGAGAGAGAGTGGAGAGAGTGAGAGAGAGAGTGAGAGTGAGGTGGAGAGAGTGAGAGTGGAGAGGAGAGAGTGAGAGGAGAGAGAGAGGTTGAGAGTGAGACGAGTGGATGAGAGAGGAGTGAGAGTGAGAGTGAGAGAGAGTGAGAGTGAGAGAGAGTGGAGTGAGAGTGAGTGAGAGAGAGGTGAGAGGGTGAGGAGGTGGTGAGAGAGTGAGGGAGTGAGAGTGAGAGGTGGTGAGTGAGAGGGAGGAGAGAGAGA